TAAAATAATTCGAAGTGGTCTGTATTCTGTCGAAACTGCCAGACGCGGATCGCGATTTCGATCTTTTTGGATCTCATCAGCGCGTCGTAGGCAGCTCCGACAGAACACAGACCAACTATTACCTGCTGTATTAACGGTGCGTTTTAGAAAATACTACAAATGGCGCAGTAAACGCCATCTGTAGCACGATGCTACATTTTATAAAATATTTTGTTAAAAACTTTTTACGTAATATATTCATCTAACGATAGTGTAAATGATATTCAACAGCTTGATTCATAATTAACCAACAATTAAGGACAATTGAAAATTAAAGGTTTCTTAGCTACAAATTCGATTTGCTTATACCCTCTGTAATTAAAAGTTCATACATAAATACGATCAATTAATGTATTTTTGTCCAAAAAAAATAATTAATACTGAATTAAAAAACATGATTATAATTACAAAAAAAATGTTAACAAATTTATTGTGGGTATACCTACACTTTTATTTGGATTTTCTTGTAAAATCTTCTAAAAACGCCTTAATGTATCCATTTTACATACAGTTATTTCAGACATCACGATAAATATTCATCAACTTACCATTAGATATGTATCCCAATTAGGAAGTAAGAACAATTCTATAGTTTGTACCCACTGACAACTATTGTTCTAAAAAAGATTATCATAGACATCAGTTGTGTGGTTAATCTGTTCAAACTAAAGTTCTTTGTAACCGAAAACTTATTAAGCGAATCGTTCGGTCGCTGTTCTCGTAAATTTCAAGCGTATTGAACCGCGTGCGCTGTACCAGAGTCGGGGAAAAACTGAATGTGATTATGAACAGAATGAAGTAAAGTAATCCCTCATTTTCTATAATAGTTTTCGTATCAAGCAGGCGCTCGTAACTATTAAATTGTACCATCATTATGAATTATCATCGCTGGATGCATTTTTCAATTCTACACTATGCTTTGAAATTATCATGATGCTTCAACATACGTATTACAATAAAAAGTTGTGCTACTGTAAATCATTTAAATGTTGTTGAACTGAAACAAGAAGTTCTCAACTAATAGAACGAACAAATAAAACGACTTGTCTTTAATAAAATCGATTACGATTTGAAATAATATAAACAGTGACAGTTCAGAGATAATTAGTTTCATTTAATTTTTCATGGAGTATATCGCAAAGAAAAACCCAAACAGTAAAGTTCTTAGAATGTACATCGCAACTTATACACAAAAATTGAAACGTAATAGAATTATTTACGGCAAGGTATTGGGGTTAATAGTGCCATTTATAATTAGCAAATACTGCATTTAATCTGTTAATTCTACCCTTTAATCGTAAATCGAAATGCGTAGCACGTATTAATTGTAATCGACGTGAACAAGAACTTTTAATATCACTTTTCCTTTCTTCGTCGTTTTGTCATTTTACGTACGATTGATAGGTACATTATCGAAACTGTAACCAAACCCTTAAAATTAATTAATAATCCAAAGTAGCTTACCTCCTTCTTAATTACTTTCACTCATAACTGCTTTGGCAAAAAGTTTTTAGAGAAAACACCTCGACTCACTTTGTCGAGAGTGAAGGGGTTGATTGTTTTCCCGAAGCAACCAATAGTTATTTAACAGCTACAAACACCTGCTCTTTTAAGTGTTCAACTTTTCAATTTCAACTTTTGGGTGCCCGGCTCAAAATGTACGCGTTTCGCGTGTGTTTTACCGCAATTTTTTACTGTGAAACGTTAGACGTTGCGTTACGAAGAGTCGCGGAAAAACTGAAGCGATTTTCTATTTCCTATATAGCAGAAGGGGAGCCGATAGCGATGCTTACAACCAAGCAGGCGCTTTAAAGTGCATCACTTAGGGGTATCAGTTTAATCTCAATTGACACTTCAAAAGACCTGTAGTAGAAACAAACTGAAGCGCATGAATAAAATAATTAACAGAAGATGGAACGCATTTTCAAGGAAAAACTAGCTCATAATTATTATACTGATTAGTTTATAAGTTAATTTAATTTGTACGTTGGGCAAACTAAAGGAGCCATTTCAATTAGGTATAGAGAACATACGGCTCATTTTAGATTTAACCGTTTTAAAGATTAATTCGCAGTCCAACATATTTTCAACGCTAACCATCCTATGTATAGGCCATAAGAATTAACAAAAGAAGTCTTGCAAGTCTGAATTTGTTGCTTTTGATACAAATATACTTAAAAATGTAGGGATGAGTTACAAAGATAGAAGAGTTATACTTAGTTTGTATAAAAAGCAACAGGCAGTTATACAGATAGGGATGCAACGTAGAGAAGTAAATATTAGGAAGGGAGTCAGACAGGGATGCACACTGTCACCGCTACTTTTTAATCTATACATCGAAGACGCCATTAACATCACTAAAGACAGTACAATTGTAGGGATAGATGTGCAAGGGCAAACGATTAGTATGCTTAGATTTGCAGATGATATAGCAGTATTAGCATCTAGCAGGGAGGACCTAGAGATAGCTATAATAAAATGGAAGCGGTACTGACAGATCAGTACTGTATGAAAATAAATAAAAGTAAAACAAAAATACTGGTATGCAAGGGAAGAAAAAGTAGGGAAAGAGCGAATTTAAAGATAGGAGACGAAAAATTAGAAGAAGTGGCTGATTTTAGATACCTAGGAAGTCAGATAAGTCATGATGGAAGGTGTAGTAGGGATATAAAGTAGAGGATAGCGCAGGGTCGTGTCGCCATTAATAAAAAGAAGTCACTTCTATGCTCGCGAACGGTTAATTTAGAAATTCGAAAAACGTTGTTAAAGGTGTATGTTTGGAGCACGGCGTTGTACGGGTGCGAAACATGGACAGTGGGCGCGGCGGAAAAGAAAAGGTTAGAAGCGTTCGAAACGTGGTGTTATAGGCGGATGATGAGAATATCGTGGGTAGAAAAGGTTAGAAATGAAGAGGTATTGGGGAGAATAGGAGAACAGAGGACTCTATGGAAATCAATAAAAAATAGGCGAGATAGCTTAGTAGGACACCTTCTCAGGCATGAAGGTCTAGTCAGAGACATGTTAGAGGCAGAAACAGGAGTTAGGAGGGGTAGAGGTAGATCTAGATTAGATTACTGTTCGCAAATAGTTAAGGATGTGGGCTGTTCTAGTTTTAAGGAAATGCGAAGTTTAGCTCAGGATAGGAAAGAGTGGAGGTACGTGTCCAACCAGTCTTAGGACTGACGACCTTATAATGATGATACACAAGAAAAGAAAATGAATTCCTCACAAACTGATGGAAGAAAACAAAAATCAAGGAGTTTACATCTGGTACATGAATTTGCTTTCTCGGTACACATTTTGTAAGAGTATTCTAAACGAAGAATAGCCATTACCATTGTCATCGGTTGTAAAACCGAATGTTAATCCCAAGAAAGTGTTTTCTGTATAGTATGTAGTTGATAAACTCATGCACTAGAGGAAAAAAGACCATGCGGAAGTGCTTCATGACAACGCCGGTCCACATACTGCAAAATTAACCCAGGAACTCATTCTCTGCTTAGGCTAGGAGACATGACTCTATCTATGTAAAGCATGCGATCTATTCTCATTTGGTCCTCCTGATTAGCAACTATTTTGATCGATGCCGTTATATTTAAGAGACCAGCGATTAAAGAGGGGGGATTGATCACCTTTCCGATAAATGACAATAGACTTTAGATAGTAATGATGAACAACTGAATTGATTGGCTAGTTCTCGACTATCTGTAAGTCACAAACGATTTACATTACTTATTGGTACGTGTTCTTCATATGCTTGGTAGATAACAGAAAATCGTACAAATTCCCATTGCTATAAATTGCTCTTAATTCACGTTAGACATATCTTATATATACCTATAAAAGAAAGTCGTTTTAGTTACACTATTTATAACTCAAGAACAGCTGAACCGATTTGGCTGAAAATTGGTGTAGAGGTAGCTTAGAATCAGGATACTTTTTATCCCGTTGCCGTGGAAAAAACAAGTGGTATAAGAAAACGCAACGAATTTAGATTTACTTGAAACTTGGCTTTAATGTTTTTTTCATATAAAATTAGTGAAATACATACCTATTTCAACATTTTACAAAGTTCTACATCTTTAGGAAGCTGAAAGGGATTCGCAAAGATTGCATGTATGTTTTTGGCCCGATTTACTTGAAACTGGTTAAAAAATTCAATCTCTGTTAGGAGGGAGGTGTGGCGAAGAGGGATTGCAATGTTTAAATGGAACATATATTATTTGTGGTCAGATTTACTTGAAACTTGGTCTTAATCGTCTCTCATTTAATTTCTGAATGACATCTCGACATTTTAAAAAATTCAACCTCCAAAGGGGGGGGGGGTAAAAACGTGTTGCAATTTTTGTTTGGGACATACTTTATTTGTGGTTGAATTTACTTGAAACTTGGTATATATGCTGTTTGATATTATTAATCAAGTGAAAAGAGGTTGCAACGTTTCCATGGGGTATATTTTATTTGTACTTGGATTTACTCGAAGGTTGCTCATTGTTGAAATTAAACAAATATGTGTTTTGGCAATTTTTTAAAAACGAACCCTTAAAGATGAAATTTTGTTGCTACGTTTGTATTTGAAATCTAAGATGGCGACATCACATAAAATTAAAACGTTGTAAGGGTGAATTGGGAGTTAAAAGGTTTTATGGAGAAACAATATTCATTTCTGCGAGTGAAGTCGCGAAGAAAAGCTATTTATCTAATATAAGCATACAATGAAAACTTTTCTCTAGGCGCTACGAAATATACTCATACTTATTATAATTTTGAAAAGGATTTGTAAAATCATTAAAACTATTTACTTCTATGGCTGTTTTCATTTAGAAGGAGTAATACCACTGTGTTGTATTTTAATACCTGTAGTAGTACTCTACAGAAATTGCAACATTTTTACACAATGCGGGGAAACATTTGAAAAAGCAAAATTTCATAAAGCAAACGAAACGAAAAGAAGCTTACAGCCGAAACTTCAGTTACTTAGTAAACTATAATACTTGATAGATACTTATAAATTTTCCCATTCTATGTTGAAATTCTAAAGTCCGCCGCACTTTTTAACTAGACATAATTTCCCTGAACTTTAACTAAGAAGGGTTCAATTATAATCCCTAAAGTTTTGTAAGTAATCAGGCACAACATTACCGTACTAATTTATTTAGCGACACTGCAGCTATCTTGAAAAACTTGCGACATTGTTTTAACGTGAGCGAGCTTCTACAACATTTCAACCCTTTGTTAAATTTCGGAAACAATAACTGCACTAGTAATATCGAGTTTGTTTGAAATGCCTGTTACAGGCGAATGATTTATCATCTTTTTGTCGTTACAACCGATCCGTTCAGTCAGCCTTATGTTATACGGTATCTATTTGTATTGTATCCATCAGGATAAGTACATTATTATTTGACGATTAGATTGAGTCGTAACCAAAAAGCCATTTTCAGAATAATATCTTTTTACATTATACTAGCGATCTGTTCCCGCCTCGCCAGATGTGTGGTAGTGATAAGATTTTTAGATGCCATAAATGTTAATGACTAATTTGGCCAGAAAGACTACATCAAGTCTTTTTTATATTCTGTATTTACACATACGAGGGCTCCGCACCTGGTCTATTTACAATAACAAATTTACAAATATTTTACATTTATGTTTGAACATAGTGACCATTAAGTTCAACACTTTCTTACCATCGATGTTCTAGCGTTTCTAACGCCTCCTTTCAATATACATCAGGGTTTTTTAAGTTTTGGAAACAATCGGTGTTCGCTAGAAGCCAAATCTGGTGAATATGGCGGATGCTCGACTAATTTGAAAACCGTCTTTATTATTGTAGCTTTTGCAGTGGAGGACTTTGACTGAGTGATGTATTATCCTGATGCAGAAGAACATCTATGAGTGACTTCCCCAACGTTTTTCTTATATTAACTGACATAATTAAAATGGTGTAATAAGCACATGTAATTATGACCCGTTTCTGCAGGAAATCTGCTAAAATTGTAGCCTCAAAAATTGCTGATGGTTGCATCTTGAATTTCTTCGGCGATGGTAAGCCCCAATGGACCCATTCCTTATCCTGTATTTCGGTCTTCTCTCTCAAAATTCTTAACGTCTACGGTAGACAGAACTAAACAGGTAAATAGCTTAAGGATACTGCAACTGTCTAGTCTTCGAAGAATTTTAAAATCTGTTCAATTAATTCCAAGCATTATACTTAAATATTGCGATTCTTACACATTCATTATATTTTTTAAAGAAAAAAAGCAACCTGTAGACATACGAAGGACTCGTTAGAAACAAACATCCCCAATACCTACGCAAACAAAAAAAAGAACCTTTGAATTCTGTCAAAGGCTCAAGATTCAGTAGATACTTCTAGAGAAACTTCTTCTACCTTTCGCCTTTGTGTTTCGCTTTTGTATACGAACAACGTCACCTTTTTTATTTATAAACTCTAAATCGTAATGACATACACAAATATCATTCTTTGATAGAATTTATTGTGTTCCTTTCAATATTTTCTTCTAATACTGCTACGGTTCAGGAAATTTTCCACAATTATGTTACCGTAGTAGTGCTAAAAGAGGCCATAAATCGAGGCGTTGAATTGAGATCGACTCAATTCTTCTTTTACCACTAATGACTTGGTTTTCACGTCTCGACAGCATGTTGACAATAAGTTCAAGATAAATAAACACAATATGTTTAGG